ATATTAAATTCCTTCCATTTTTTTTAACGTTTGAGTTACATTTATTAACGGGAGGGCGAAAAAGGATACTTTCGCATTTGTTAATATTTATTTTGAGATGCCAGTTTATTGTATAATCCTCAACAGTATTGTATTTGAGTTGCAGGTTCCTATTAACGCTGTCGATCGTTCTGTCGGAGTAGTAAATGACAATATCGTGGGCGAATGCTATAATGTTGTCCAATTTTTGTACTAAGTCGAGGATGAAAAGATTAAACAGAATTGGAGCATTTACTGTCCCTTGTTGCAGACCATTTACTACGTGAAATTCGCGACTGCTTTTTGTATTATTTATATGAACTGAAAATTTTTTGCCGGATATCATGTTATAAGTAAGTGTAATCAGATGGAGAGGAAATTTATAGCTGATGAGCTTACATATTATATTAACCATTCAATCCATACTTGATCGAATGCTTTCTCAAGGTCAAAGAAGCATGCACCTGTGACATATTTCTTATTCCAGTTCCAGTTTATTTCGGAGACGAGAAGATTAATAGCATGTATAGTGGAATGCCACCCAAATTGCTTAGGGCTTATTAAGTTGTTGATTTTAATAATTTTATTTATATTTATGTTAACCAAAACTTCAAAAACTTTACTAATATTTGGTAGCAGGCTAATTGGCCGAAGGTTTTTCAAGTTATTTTTGTCCTTATCTTTCCTTGGTATCACAATTAGTTTAGCTGTTTTCCAGTTAGGTGGGAAGTAGGCATTGTTAAACATATTATTGAATAAAGTGGAATATTCTAGTATTAGTTCTGAGGAGAAGTTTTTTAGAATGATATTGAGTATTTGGTCTAAGCCGGATGATAGTTTACCTTTAAGTTTAGAGAACACGTCTGTAAGGTCGTATGAACTAACAAAAAAGTTTTCCGTTTGGTCATCATTTAAATTATTGGCTATTTAGTTGGTATTGAAGTTTGTTTTGATCGCTCGTGTGCTGTCGAATAAAATTTTCATTTCCAGAAACTTTTTGAAGTATTCTTGTACCTGAAAGTGGACTGAATTGTTGGGTATACTTTCTTTTGAAGCATGGACTGCTTCGAAATAAGTCCCGATTATTTCATTTATAAATTTTTTGTTATTGATGACGTAGTTGTTTTTAACTAAGTCCTTTTGTAGAAGCTCTCGGTCCAAGCCCGCGTTTTGGATTATGTCGGATGAGTTTAAGGGGATATTTATATGACTGATTGTATTATTATTATCTTTTAAAAACGATTTTTTAATAACGGAAAATTTTTAGAGATCGTTAGTCTTAAGGGTTGCAAGTCTTTGCTCGAGTTGGTTATTAAAATGTTTCTTAATATTGTCATCTATTAGTTTTTTTACAAGTTTCAGTTTTGCTTTTTCTACTTGAAGTGTCGTGGGAGGTAGATATAATTGAAGTCGATTATGTTTTTGAATGGCTGAAAGGATTTTACTTTTTTCTCCTAGCAGTTTTTTTATAATTGGCAAGTTTATAAGAGTTTGAGTAGGGCTATTGATTTTTGCTTTTGGTACATTATTTTCTATGGCTTTCAAGACAATATTATTTAGCAAATGGTGATCAATCTCTGTGTTGCTCAAGTTTCTATCGTTTGGTATAAGGGATTTATTTTGAAGTTGCGTGTTAAAATCTTTTTTAAATTTTGTCCAGTTAGTTTTTTTGTAGTCAAGTGTGGTTTTTATTGGGTTGCCTAAAAAAGTCAAATAGTTTGTGTTGTCCCTGTTAATCGCAACGATTTGAATAGCGCAGTGATCGCTATCTTAATCAATGCATCTCAAGCAGTTAACTGTGTTGTTGGCTCTGTGAATATCTATTATGTGATCAGCAATGCAAATATCAAAAAAGGAATTAGCTCTTTCGTAGGACGGAGTAACCGAAGCATACATATTGCATCTGAACTTTAATTCGTTGGAGGTCAGCCAGTTTTTTAGGGTTTTACCTTTAGAGTTATTGTGTAGGTTACCCCAGTCTGTGTGTTTACTGTTGAGATCACCAGCTTCTATGTAATAGTGGTTGGGATTTTGTAGGTTTAAGGATTCGAAGATTGTGTTGAGTTCAGATTTAAATGTGTCGTTATTATTACCTGACGGGTAATAGGCTGAAATTATATACATGATGTTATTCGGAGGCATATGAATTTTTATTACACAAGATTCTAAATAGGATAAGGCATTGATGTGTTGGTTGAAAACTTCCGTGTATTTTATATTTTCACTAATTAGAATTGCGGTTCCTCCTCCTCTCGATAATAACAATCTATCTTTTCTTATTAAATTATACCCTATAAATTTTAGTTTGTGTCTTGTGTTAAGTTTAGTTTCGTTCAACAGAACAATATCGGGCTTATTATTTGATAAGAATTTACTTAGCTCTATTCTCCTGCTTATATTAATAAGCGAGTTGACATTAAGTCCAATTATTTTTAACTGGGATTGGGTAATAGGTTTAGTATGGTCTGAATTCATGCTGTATCTATTATATTGTAAATTGCATCAACTCTTGCCGTTTGTATTTCCAGCTGCTTCTGCAGAACTGTTAATAGTTTACTTAAAGATAACATTGTATTTTTTAGTTCTTCGAATATTTGATTTTGAGAGTTTTGATTATTGGTATCACAAAATACACCAGTTAACTGTTTACAGACATTTGCATAACTTAAATTAGAGTTAATAAAATTTTGGTTAGTGTTTATTTTCGTGGCTATTAGGTTTTGTTTTTTCAATCTTATTTTTTGTTGAAGCTCTTTATACCGCTCACAGCCTTTGTAGGCAGCTGGATGCCCAAATTTCTTGCATAAAACACAATACACCTTATCATTTTCAGTTGAATTTGCGTCTAATGAGTTACAATCTTTGCTTTTATGTGTTCCGCTACATTTGACACATCTTGGTGGTAGATTACAATTAGCTGCGCTGTGAAAGAAACTTTGACAGTTTCTACACTGCGAAATCTCAGCTTTCCGTAGGGGTTCCCATTGAATACAGTGGTATAAAACAGTTTTAATTGCTTTTAATTCGTTAACGTTACTTTCGGCACTTGTTTGAACCATAAACATAGGTAGTTTTATATTGCGTTGCGTGGAAATTTTTGTGGTAAATTGATTAACTTTAAGAATTTTTAGGTTATCGTTTTGATATGTGCAAAGTTCATTAAAAATTTCTTCGGGGTATGTTTTGGTTTTTATTTAGGTGTGTAAGAATAGAATTTTACTTTTGTGTTTTCTAAGTACCCTCGGACTTTTTTGTAGTCTTCAATGTTGGTTAAAAAAAATTTATTTTGATTATATTCTTTAATTTTAAATTGTGTTATGTTTAGACCGTCTCTTATTAGTTCTATTATTCGTTTTGATTCGATATCGAATGTGTTTATTGGAGGAATGTTTTAGCTGTTTATTTTTCGTTTGACGTTTGGGATCGAATTAACTTCACTAGTGTTATTTCTATGCGAGACGTCAGCTGGAGTTATTGCTGCCGCTGCACTTGTTGATGGGTTGTTTTTTGTTGTATTACTAGTTTTATTTTGTTCATATTCGTTGCTTAGATTATTGGAACAAACGTGTTGTTCGAATTTTTGTAGTGTTTCATTACACTCTCTTAGATCGTCATCTAATATAGCGTAATAATTGTTTTTGGTATTTTTCGACATTGTGTGTTTAAATACGTTGTCGTTTTTTCTTTTTCTATTTAAGATTATCGTTGCGACATTGTTTGCAGAACTAAGCGCATTGCGCTCACTCATTATAAAAAGGAACGCCTTTACACTGACTATGGATCAAGATTGGCACTTCAGGAAATTAAATGATTTTTATGATCTTTATAATGGATATCGATTTGTTATCACTTTACACTCCGTGGTACGTGCTTACGCTCTCGCTGTCACAATCAGACTCCTATTTTGGACTTGCCTTTTGATGAAAATGGTCCATACCATGAGGAATCCACCACCGGCGTTTATGGCAAATATCTCGTGGGCATCTCAAACACCTCCAATATTTATGAAGACCATGCAAATTAAATTTATTTTCGTCACTGAAAACCACAGATTCGAGTTCTTCGTCCCCTAATTTATATTTTAAATAAAATGCAATTCGTGCATTTTTATGACGTTACTTAAGGCATGGTTCAGGTACTCGATTTTCATATTTAAGGCATAAATCTTTTATTATTATTTGATGCACACGTTGTTTAGTCACATCTCGACCAAGTTCCGCTTTAATTTGCCTGCAACTCACATGTCTATTGATTGTAATGTGAATATGCCGTTTGCTCCTGTCATCAATAATACCTATACGACAACTACGCTTAGTAGCACCGTAGGTATCTTGATTTTCAGAAAGTTTCTTATTGTGTTCCGATGCCTCTTTAAGGGAAAAGGAATTTGGCCAACTTTCATGCCAGATTGACTCATTCCTTTAATCAATCCTCGCTCCTTATCTGATAATTCAGTTCCACGGGGTATTTTCCTAGTAATTCAAAAAATGTGATTTATTTTTGTCGTTTTAAAGCTTAATTCATGTACTGTACTTACTTTAAAATTTTATCTCCGCTTTTTCTACTAATATGTTTACTTGGCACCCGTCAGAACACAAATAGTACATTTTGCACATATGTATGTATATGTATAAATATTTACACATAAGATGTGACTTATTTCATTAGAAATAACGGTGCTGGGATGAACTTTTAAAATAATGCTAAACCAGAAAACCTAGAAGAACCATTTACGTTCTCTAGCTCAACATCATTTCGATACGACCTTCGGGCTTGCAACAATGACAGGCAAAAATTAAATTTTACACTTATGTTATAATATGAATGTAATCCTTCAAAATGAACTATTAGCAAATAATATGTACTATTAAAATTATGGAGCCATTATTTTTATAAAACAAAACATTCTCCGCGTAAATTATGTACTGAGTTTAAAAAAATTAAAAGTTACAATTTTATATTCTTTTTCTTTATATAACTACCTTCCTATATATCCTGCTTGGGCCATCATTCCATTTCTATCGTCCATAACCCTTTGAGGTTGATTGTTTACGACCTTTCCATCGTCATTGCCTTTCCATGTTCCATCATCTTCTTTAAATGATTGGCTCCTATTGTTTTGATTAACAGAACAGTGAAAATAAGAATATATCAAAACATAAAATCTTACTTATTGCAGGGCAGAACACAAATTCCGCAACATTTTTCCATTCCACTCAAATTTTTTTCAGCTTCCCTCATATCAGCGTTTATTTGATCCATTCCTTCTTCAATTCTGTCCAATTGTTCTAAATATTAATAATGATATGATAAAAATATTATATAAATATAGATGCATATGTATGTATGTATTATATATCTAGTTATAAAGGATTAGTATACAACTTTTTATAGGCAATATAGGCTCAAAATAAAATTTAAAACATTTAAAACCATTTTTAAAATGTTCAGATTCGGCAGAAAAGATTTGGAAGTCCAAATTTGCTGTCACTGCTCTGTAATATTTTCATCACTCTTCCTAGAATTAAAAAATTTTTTTTTAAATTTTTTTGTATGAGTCCCAAATGAAACTCGGTCAGAAAATCAGGATTCTACACCGGTACTGGTTCTAAGGCAGGATTATGAAGTATCTGAATAATGTTATGAACCGTCAACTTGAAAAGAACAGCACTTGTGACAAAGTGATTTAAACGATTAAGTACATGATTTGAATCTGTCTAAAAAGCGTGCTGAGGTTTTGGAATCTAGATTAAACGATTGAAATTTACTTTCTCCTTATACGACAATTTCTTATTTTCGACATCGTGGCGATGAAACTTAACTTTTCTAAAGCAGGGGATTAAGTCTATTGTAATAACGTTCCTGTTTTGATGAATTTCTTCTAAATCCCAGGCGATTGTTGACTGTCTCCTAAAAAACTAGTTTGAAAACAGTGTTGGTGCATAACGGAATTAAACTTCCTTCAGTGACGGTTGCTCATGGTTCAGATATGAAACAGACTTGCATATGTTTTAGAAAAAATTGAATACAATAAACACGCTTCTAAAATTTGTGGTAATTTCAAAGTCATTGCACTTTTACTTGCACTAGAGTTTGGTTGTACAAAATCTTGATGTTTTATTTGCGAATGGGGCAGTAGAGACAGAAAAAAATCAATATTCGAAGAGAGTGTACAAATCAAACTATTACCCTCCTCTCACTGAACCGACGAGAGCAGTGCAACTCGCATATGTGCGGAATTAGCCAAGTCAGTTGAAAAGTGATCCATGAAAAGTCAGATCCATCAAATGTGCAGGAATGCGAATTCAAAAACTGCCTCGATAAACGAACAGGGATATGAAAAGTAATTTTGATTTGACTCTAACTTGACAGAAAGTTATAAAATAATTTCAGTAAGATACGGATCTCAAAATTCTGTAGACCAATGTATAGCAAAACTAAGAACACCTTTAGCTTTCACAACCATGGTATTAATATGAGGACGAAATTATGCTTAGGGACCATAGTTCCTCTCAAATCCACGAAGTGAAATACTTGCCTAGACTATTGTTTTTGAAGTGAATACTTCTTTGGTCACATCAAATTGATTTTTCAAGGTCGCGCCACGACACTTTTTGCTGATTTCTGAGAGCAGCTATGTGTGCATGCATGTGTTGTTGTTTTGCGCTCACTCTCCGATATAGATAGATTTTGATACGTAGGTTTGGTCGATTCATTAAACTGACTTCTAGCTGCAAATTGGCACATACATACATCACTTCGGAGCTAATATATGAAATCTAAAATGAAAAATAAAACTCTAACAAGCCTAACGTTATCTTACCAACAGAAGCATAAAATAGCTCTGAGATATCATTTTACTTACTTTTTGCACAAAAAATTTCACTTTGAACAAGTTATTTAAATTTCATTGAAGTGAAAGGTTTTAGTACGGCAGCAACGAAATTGCGTACATCAATGTTTGACATGTCGCTACCGTCTTTAAAATGTTCAAGAAGCTGGCTTCAAGACAACATTTGCCGACAAGTAAACTTCGCGGTCGTTGCATTCGTCTTGATTTGTCTAAATTAATATATTTTATACTTATAAATTTAAATAAATACAACCTTTGTAAACACAATTCTTTCGTAATCTAGTATTCTATCATTCTTGTTATCGAACGTATGGACAATCCGTTAAGGAAACCGCTGCACATAAGTTCATACAGCTGACCGCGTGCACTGTCGGTAAAAGTGTTAACAGAATTTGTGTTGTAATATTTTGTGTTAAGTGATATATTTACTTTTCTAAAATCTTTAAAACAGTTATCAACGTAAGTATCTTCATTACATTATTATACATATTAAGATTAATTAAATTTTTGCCTAAAATACATAGAAGTAAATGTCTATTTACGTTTAGTGTTCGTGTCCTCAGGATATATACATAATTGGAATACGTGTCTGCATACATGAAAGTGACAGGCACACTACGTGAACGGAGCATACAAATACGCATTCCACACTTTTTGTAACTGACTTTCATTGATCAAACTTTTAACAGCTGCAAGTGATTTATTCTCAGTTTGATTTGGCAATTCATCATGAATAGACTCACGCCTGAACAACGCTTGACAATAGTGCAATTTTATTTCGAAAATAATGGTTCTGTGCGGGATTCGTATCACGCACTACGTTCTTTTTATGAATGATGCGATGAAGCGCACTCCTGGTTGAATGGCTACGTCAACAAACAAAACTGCCGCATTTGGAGTAAAGCTAATCCTCAAGTGTATATCGAAACACCGTTACATCCAGAAAAACTGACTGCTTGGTGCGCTTTATGGGCTGGTGAAATCATTGGTCCGTACTTCTTCAAAAACGATTATGGCCAGAACGTTACAGTCAATGGTGATCGGTATAGAGCCATGATTACTAACTTTTTCATTCCTGAATTGAAACACCATGATGTCCAGGACCCGCTAGACTACTTTCTGTGGGGTTATGTAAAGTCATTGGTCTATGCGCATAAGGCACAAACGCTTAACCATTTGGAAGACAACATTCGCTGTGTTATTGCCGATATACAGCCACAAATGTTGGAAAAAGTCATCGAAAATTGGACGTCCAGATTGGACTACATTCGAGCCAGCCGTGGCGGTCATATGCCAGAAATCATATTTAAAATGTAATGCCACAAGATTATCTTTCGGATAATTAAATGCATGTCAATCGAATAATCCATCGATGTTTTATTGCAATTTAAAGTTCTATATCTAAAAAAAAAACATCCGTTAGCTCTTCAACCAACGACAATGTATGTATTATTAATGACGAACCATCGCAGCAAAATGCAATCAGTTTCGTGAATATAGTACTCAAAATTTACAAAATGATGAGAATCATCGATTAATTATTGTTCCAGTCATCAAGATCAAGTCAAGATCATATTTGCACTCACAACTTCTCATTGAAAATACAGTACACGAAAAATTTACTGATTATAGTAATAAAAAGCAACGAAATTTGCAAAAACACCAGGCGAGCGTTGTAGGGAATATAGAATACGAAAGGATACTAAAATACAATATCAAATTGGAACTGAAGCTTCCGTCTAGTAGCACAGAAAAACACCTACACATAAAAGTCGAGAGTATCGAGCACGACGAAAATATTTGCAGGTCGTGTTTACAACAATCAAAGCAAAGCAAGAAGGGTTGCGATCTATTATAATGAATGTGATACATTAAACATTGACCAGAGAATGTAAAATATAGAGAGGGTCCAACTACGGGTATATGCAATATACCGTATATGCTCGTATATGCTATCATATTTATTGATATGAATATCATTATGCGATTTTTTATTAATGCATGCAAAACTGATAAGACTCTATAAGATTATGTAATTTTTAAAATAATATTAATAGTCAGTTTGGGCATTTAATAATATTATATAGTTTTTACATAATACGCATTCCTAATTGTTCATGCGACTTCTAATCCCGCGGCATTTGTACAACTAAGCGCACAACCACTGTACAACATCATACCATACAACATAACACAATGCAACATCATACACCACCTACAACACACCATATCACTCACCAACACAACCATATACAATTAACCAACCACACTATACATCCACACTATACACCCACACTGCAACCACCGTCTTTTCCACCACCCGAATGAACAAAAGGGCCAGTCAGACCGGGATGCGCTCTCTTTTCGCTTTCGTCCATGACCTATAAGGTTCTATATCAAAACGTTCCCGGCCGAGTGATTATCATCGAAGTAAAGTAGAAGTGAATTAAACAAAAACTGAAAGTGTATGACAGGTTATTTAAAACCTTAAAGCTAAGAACGTGAACTTTTTAATATTATAAAGTGTCAAAAGAAAAAAAATATATTTTTACAATAATAAAGTTTAAAAAAAAAATTAAATAAAGAGTTTTTTACTAAAAGTAGTACAATTGTGACAAAAAGTGAGTATAACACCGCACCCAAGGTGAAAGAATAAGTGAAGTCAACACTAATAAATATTTTGTATGATAATTGTTATTATAGTGATTAAATTTATTAAAACATATCCATCCATACATCTTTTATCATATTAATTTTATATAATCATATGTATGTACATCTGCACAAGCGCATTTGAATGTACAGATTCAGAAATTTAAATCATAATTTTATCACTTATCAATGCACTATATGTGCTCGCATTGATTTATTTGTCAATATGTATGTATGTATGTATATATTATATAACATTGCCGAACAAATAATGCATACACAAACCAACCTACATAAAATACATATGAATATCCGTACACATGTAAATATGTCCCCCGCAAAAACTACAAAAATTGTTCTACAAAAACAACAATTGTCACAACAACATTTTCATTCATGAACGCAGGCGTACTTTCAACAAGCAACCTCGTTTTCATTCTTAAAAACAGACACCCTCTCATCACCCCGAGCATGCGTTTGCCCACAAGCTTCTTTTCGCGACGATGGCAAACGAGAAAACAAAAAACGTGAGCTTCGGCCATTGGTTGCCCGTGGCATCGGAGATTTCCCATGAAACAATGAGTGTACATATTTACATACATACGTTGCCTTTAGATAAATTAACAATTATAATGGGTACTTTCATATTTGTTTACATGCACACTTCATTATACATATATATTTGTATAAGAATATTTGGGACCGCTTGGTCTCTTCTTATCGGGTTATGTCAAGCAAGAGGTGTACAAAATCAAACCCAGAAATCTGACTGAACTGAAGCAG